CTACTCAGATCTCTTCAATAGCCACGTCCTCCTTACTTCATGTGAAATAAAGGGGGGTGGATATGCCGTACCACCGGTCCTTCCTTCCTAAATCCAAAATACTGTTTCGTCGGTGGAAAATTGAATAGCAGCACCATCTCCGTTTTGCTGTTGACATCGTCCTTATAACATCAAACATTAGCCAAGCGGAACGCGTGCTTGCCGACTTTGATAAACACAAAAACGATGTTCATGAGGAGCGGGTTGGTTTCGTATGCCTCATTGACGCTAAATAGAAAGAATATTTCCGAATGCTCCAGTTATGTCTATCTAGGTCAGGAAATCAATATAATGAGTGACTTAGCTCCAGAGCTGAGCAGAAGGAAGCGAACGGCTTGGTGAGCTCTCAAGCGCATCGGGGATGTAGTGAAGAGAACAAAGAACACCCGACTCCGCCCCACCTTTATCCACCGATTCAACGGTGCTTCCTGCGTTAACGTATGCGTCAGAAACCTGGTTACTGCGTAAGCAGGATGAAAAATCACTAGCCATTATTGAACGTGCAGTCGAAAGGACGATGCTAGTAGTAACCCGTATAACATAAATAAGAGAAGGGATTTGAAGCTCCGAACTGTATCAACGACCAGAAATCAAAGATGCCGTTCTGTATACCAAACAGTCGAGGATAATGTGGGCCGGAAACCTAATGCGTATGAACGACAACCGATGGACAATAGCCTCTAGTGACTGGGTTCCTCGGGATGTTAAACGCACTGCAGAAAGACCACCGACCCGATGGTCAGAGTTCTTCACAAAGAGCCTAGAAGAAAGATGTGATGCTTAACGAGTCCTTAGAATGAGCCGAACCCACTGGGCTACTACTGCGCGCGACAGGGAAAAATGGAAGATTGGCGCCCGCTCTAGTCACTCGACGATCGACGGTAATACATAATACAGGTAATAATATAGGTATAGGTAGTACAGGTGAAGTACTGCTATCTCTAATCCTATTTTATCCTTACCTCTAATCCTGTTATTTGTCGAGTAGCTCACTTAGAAATCTCTAATCATATTCTTTTCCTTCGCACACAACCGACAGCTTCTCAATGGGCTCCACTCATTCGAGAGACATTGAAAGCACCGTAATACCGATTCCATGTTATTTTTTGAAACGTGTTTCTACATAGCCTTTTTTTCTCGTTCAGCCACCATGATTTAAGCGGTGAATAACCGGAACAACAAAGAAGCACTTTAAATGGGAACTGCTCTAGACACTAGAACTTTCATTATTTTCGTCTCTATCCAACTTAACAACATCAACTACTTCCTGGCTAGTGCCAACTACTTTAAAAATCAAGTTCAATGAAATCTAGGTATATTTATAAGGCATGGTGATGTTTAATCTCGTGAGATAATGAACAGCATGAACTTAAGCATCATCAGTGATAAACCTGTAATTGTAAGCATTTATGTAGTGGTGGCTACGATCTATTCAGTAATGTTTTTAGTGACGGATGTACCACTCGCTACTCTGTAGCAATTCGGTTTTGGAGTAATCAATTGAATACGTTGCTGTAGAGACTAATTAGTTGGTTAGTGGTAGCTATGCCTCTTCTCGACTTTCGAAGACGGATTTGTCGTGATTTCTGATATTTGAAGATGTGTGACATATAGCTCCTCCCAACGGTTTGCGCCCCATCGAGGGTGGGAGGTGTTCCTGCATGTCGGGCTTACAGCGGGGGATTCATCTTCTCGGCAGAGTCTCTGAAGCTGAGAAGGAATCGGGCGTTTCCATCAGGAAGCCAAGCTAGGAGTAAACCAATACCAGGATCCACCAGCGTCCTGTTATTAAACTAGTCGCGTGGTGGCAAATCTCCTTGTGATCCACAAGGGCGGCTACTACCTGGGGTTACGACGACCTGCGGCAGATTTTGAATAGGGTGACCTCGGCACTCCAAGGAACCACAATGGCTAAACCAGAAAACTCCGAAGAAATGGAAATTTTACTGGAGCCTACACAACTATTGAGGACGGGCCATCCAAGTATCCATGTAAGTAAGTAATATATAGCTATTTACGGCTTAAAGTTTGAAAAGTTGTGAGTGATTGTCAAGGTTTTGAAATTGTAGTTTTATGGCATGACAATTGATATGCAAGCTGTAGTTGTCAGGTGAACCAACGAAAACAGGTTTTAGGTGAGGATTCTGAAAGCCGATTTACTCCTTTAAATGAAGTACCACATAGTGTTGAGCTGTCTGCTTCAATCAGCTCGTATCTGCTCGGTCTTTGCTGGGCGGGTCTTACTAGTGCTGTCATTAGAGCGTAAAACTCAAAATTGGGTAGTTTAACCTCTGTTGTGCGAAACGTACAGTATGCGATCAATATGTGTTCGTACCAAACATCCAGGATATAAACATTCTGCTGTTGGTATAAGGAGTGTACAACTTTAATTTGTCTGAGTAGGTAGGGAAGATTCTCTATGTGATCGAGAGTTTCCTCAATAATTTAGTAGATAGCATAACGCTTACATTTCCAATGTAAAATGCGAACCACCACGAATTCGTGTAAAACTGATGAAATTTATAACATAAGCAACTCAACAATGAAACGAACGAACATTATTTTGGAAGGGGGACAAGTACCTCAGCACATAATTTGCCAGTCTAGTAAGACTTCTTCCCAGGGTCTTGAAAGGGTCGACCCAAGGATCTGACCACAGTTAGATAGCGGTATTTGTAGACCCATGTTTTGTTGCTTAGTAACAAGATTGCCACAAAACAGTGATTACTCCTGGACTTAGTTCAAATCCTAACTGGGAAATAGATAAATTCCGTAAAACCTCAGCATCTTAGAATTATTGAGGTATTGCTCGCCATATTCGAATTTACCAAGAAAAGGAAGTAAAACTAAATATCTACATCTTCCCTAATTGGATGCTTGGATGGCTCATCTTCACTAGCGGTACGAGCCCCAGTGTAACTTCCATCCGTCTCTCTCGCGCAATGGTCTTCGATAGTAGTAGCCTGCTTCGAATATGGTGACCTCTGCGAGGCCCATTCTGAATTCCTAAAATCGTTCCCATCTGCCAATGCTGATCTTCCACGTTAACGACGAACACGTCCACTCATCGTCTGGGTCGTCTTCCAAGAGGACGCTTGCATTCTGCTAGAGTCCTCTCCGCTGTTCTTTTTGTCCATCTATAACGTGTTCTTCGTACTACATGACCAACCCACTTATGTTTCGTAATTAAAGTGTATTCTCCTGGGTCCCGAATATGGAATACGTTTCGAAGATCTGAGCTACACATTCCGCCTGGACCTTATAAGTATCGGTCAAATTTCAAAAAAAATAGCTCAAACGCTTTTTTGGTGGCGCGCAGATTTCTTGACGTCGTCGAAGTATCAACCCACGTCTCAGCAGCACAACAGAGTGCTAGAAGGACTGTTGAATCGCAAGGTAGGCGCAGATTTCCGGGTCCTTTGCTTGGTTGATGGCTTCTTTGAGAGACCGGAACGCTGCCCATGCTACTGTTCTTCTTCTGTATAATTCCTCCTTCATATTGTTCTGCGTGTTCACTGAACGTCGAAGTTACAGTGTGAGCTAATTTCTGTTATCAGAGAACTATTCAAAAGTCTTGAAAGGATGTTGTCCATGAAACGATGATTTGATAGAAATTTCCCATCAATACGTAAGCCCTTTTAATCCCAATCAATTGACTTGATTATCGACGGCAGTGCGGCAGTAAAAATCCTTAGTGATTAATATCATAGGAACCAAGTTCACCATTCGAGCAGTGCTTCCTCCACTCGATTCGACTCGATGTGACAATAAACACCAACATCACGGCAACGACCACCTATGAACGATCGAGTCGAATAGGCAAGGCTCTGAGGAAGGCGATGGCCCCTAATCCTTAGCCGAATAAGTCTTTGTACAAATTTTGTTTTATCCCAATTATATAGTTTTCGGGGCACCGTGTCATCTTACTGAATTTCTTTTCCAATGAGTATTGTGATATAGGTAGAGTCAGGTAGCGTTCGTATATGGGACGACTCCACTCCCTGGTCGACGAGCGCTGATAGGATTGCATTTGTTTAATCTATATCCCACACTCGAAACGTTCAACAGTTACTGACTTGGCTTGAAACCTTAGTACTAAACTAGAGTGGTGGCAGTGACGCACTAGATTTCCTCAAGTTTCAAGGCACAACTACCTCTCATAGACTAAGCAACGAAACACTTCATGTCTTGTTTAACTACAGTTTAAAAGATTTAGTCCAAAAGATCAGATCACAAGATCTAGAATACGTAGTGTAAAAATGCTATTGTAAAACAACTCTAATTAAGTAAGTTATACAGCGAATCCAGCAAAAATTTTACGCCAACGGAGTTCAATAGATGCCAGTGAAATTCCACCTATTCGTTAGAAATAATGGCCCGGCTTTTAAGACATACAGTGAACTAAGGTTATGGACCTCCACAAAAAATTCACGACAGCTATCTGAAGAACAGCAAGCGACACTGTTTCCCTTCCGATACTAGGATTAAAGAGTAAAAATAAAAACCGCAGCGTCAAAAGAGGTACAACAACAACCGATATGTTCAGATAGTCATCACCAATTTTGTGTGGAGGACCACAACGGAACTCGATGATAAAACTCATATCTAAGCATTCCAAACCTTACTGCTAATTTATTGAATGGTCCGATCCTCAGTTCAAATCGAAGTTCTAAATTCAATTACAACAATTATCACGGTTATCATGCAACTAACAACACTTATCTTTCCAAGCATAGGAATCACATTCTAACCCAATGCTTCATTTCAACCTAAGTGCAGCTCGTTCTGAAATTTAACACCACTTTGCTATTCCAAACATTCAGTTATGATAAAAGAATGTAAAAAATGACACAATGTTTTTAACCATTTTAAAACACGAAATGTACAATTACACACTATCCACCGTCAAAAGTAACAATAACAAAACAATATGAAAGAAAAATGGGATCAAACAAGTGAGGTTACTTTCCAAAAGAAAACTTGATCGGCGGTCTAACCGCTCCACCTTTGTTGATGATCGCAAGCTGCTCGTGCTTTTGAAGGGCAGTCTTTTCTCTGAGCACTTCCTGACGTTCACGCTCCAACGCACTTCGCTCAGCCAGCATCGCAAGCCGCTCCTCGTTGAACCTGTACAAGATTTTATTCAACTAAATCAACGCCTCTACCGCTTCGCCGTCAATCTGTTTCAACCTCAGGGCCGCGAAGTTTATGCGATCTGCGCATGCCAAATCGGAAATTTGGTAGTTCGCACCTCGTCAGCCATCAGTGATCTCTTCCTGCGAAAAAAACAGCGGTGCATTAGACCAGCGATTACTATCGCTAGTACCAGCTGAAGATTACCACCTAGATCTAATTTCGCGAAGCTTAATGAGAATCATAGATATCAAACCTTTTCTCGCTTTCATCGGCTTGTCGGACTTTCTCTTCCAATTCTTTTTCGAGTGCTGAACATTTTGCCCGCGATGCTTCTTCTCTTCTTCGTATGGAAGCCATTTCTTCTTCCATTTCACCAAGGATCTGTGCCCTTAACCGAGATTCGACTTCGGCCCTTGCCCTTTTTTGGCTCTCAGTCATCGCCTCCTCCAACTTCTTCACCCTTTCGAGGACCTGAAACGGTACCTACACTGTGACACGCTTACCTACATTAATAATCGTTAAAAAACTACTATATATCAGAAAATGAATCCATTAACGTTAACTTATAATTGTAACACTTTTGTGTTTAGCAAGCGAATCGGCCAAGCGCTTTTAAGAGAAAAAGACTTCCATTAGAATAAAAACGATTGCAACATGCTTTCACCAAACCTCTGCGTAAAATAACAGAATACCTGTAAGAAATTCCAATAAGTTGCGTCGGAATACCGTCACATTCCATCGACATGGACAATTGTTTCACGATAATAGTATAAAATCAAGTCTCAATCGATGTGGAAAACGGATGAAGAGATGAAAAAGGCACTCGCTACAATATTTTTGCTAACTGAAATGGGCGCGCAATATCCTGCGATTGTTAGTGGAACATCGCTTGAGTAGAGGCGGTGAACCACACACCTTATTTGTTTGTATCTTCTAACTACGGTCAAATTGACTGCGAATTTCTGGAATTCTCTAGCTACCCTATAACGATAAATATGATTTACCAATCAACAATAAGTGATTTGCGGTTATAAAAGTTTAGAATCAAGAACTACAACTTTTAAATAGTAACTAGATGAAGCGCTAACTAACTGCAAATAACGCGGAGAAGACAGCGGGCGTAACGGAACCAGTGTGAAAACGACGATACTCTACCTGTTCAGCTATCCTCTCTTCAAGCCATTCTCGTGCTTCCGTTGATATACTGGAGATATCAAAAGTGCCAGTGAGCTCTCGCTCCACTTCGGAAGAAATTATAGGCCTGAAAGAAAGAATATGGGTGCAATCATCGTACCAGTGTCATCATTCCCTACATAAGATTTAAGTTGTTGTGACTCTATATTACACGAATTTCTTGGTAGCTATTGAAACAAACGCCATAAATCACTGAGGCTTTACTTCGAAACAATTTTTCTTGAACAGTCTGTAAACAAATATTTGTAAATAAAGTTAATAAGAAGATAATCAAGGTTTGACAGACATCTCGAAACAAAAATTACTAAGGACAAACTAAGTGGATGAAGTGTTATAGTCCTCCCAGCTAATTCATAACTTATCAAACAGAACAGAGCGTGTGTAGCTCAGTGAACGGAGGCGCAGTGGAATACAGATAGGATTAATATCCGCGCCTAAGGCTCATTAAGCCTTCCATCCCTCTGGGTCGGCAAATTGGTACCAGACTTATCTGGGAGGATAAAAGCACTGGCTCGATACATCGGTAGGCCACTGCGAGTCATTTTAATTGTAAAGGCCAGATATACGTTCACTCAACTCCAACGATGGTTATTGAAGTCGAATGCATGGCGCATCCTTCAGGGATTGATCAACGACGACAGCTTTATCCTTAATTTAACTGGGATCCCGTACTGTCAATATGTTGTGGCCATTATTGCCATTTTTATCCTTACTATAGCAGCTTTATTGTAATATTACTGCAATTTTTAGTGTATGAATACATCAGCAGGCCACCGCATGTCATTGTACTCGCCAGATACGCATTCAAAGACCTCCAGCAATGCTTAATGAAATCGAATGCTTGGTGCACTCCTCAGGAATTGATCAACGCCGACAGGATTATCCTTTATTATTATTATTATTATTATTATTATTATTATTATTACTACTATTACTATTATCAAACGGTACACTACTCGCCTGATCATTCCGTTTGGCAAATAGCAATATTTTTCACCCTCTTCTATTCTAAAGTGATAGGAATGAGCTGACTATTTACTAGTAATCAGAGCATGACAATTGAAATGACGCACGGTTTGAGAACAGCGAAGGCAAACCACAATCTTCTTTACTTGTTCTACATATGAACTTGATGATGGATAACCGTTAGCTCACAAAAATTACTACACTGGTCCTAAAATACAAAAACGCGGACTGAAATGTATAAAAACTCGGATGTTAACATTTTTTTTTCATTAGAATTAGTTCAGCTCCATGGATGATTACGTATATAAATTATTCTGACTTGGCCAGTTCTCTGCTACACTTGTAACGTATGACAAATTGTCCACTGATGATACGTTAGTACACTACGAACACGTCTTCACGTTTTGGAAGCAAGGAAACTAGCAAAACGTTCCACTACCCAGACACTGGTGAAAAAACATTGTCCCGAGAAAGGTAGCACATTGTTGAGAGCAATGCTTTCATGCAGTTGTATTTACAAGTATACTTTGTTATAATACACCAATTTAGAGGAGCTCGCTCTACAACTATTCGTCAGGTTCTGCCTCAAATACGTTAAGGTGTCTTTGTTTCGCCATTCTCTCAGCCGTGTTTTTAACCTATAGATGTTGTCAACAAAGTGAAACGAAAGACCCCCACATTCCACTGCAGACCGTAGAGAACAGGTCCGGAGTCTTGCATGTTGTGGTTATACCTTAAGGGGTGTTTAAATCCACCTTAGTAAGTCCACGCTTTGAACAACACTAAAAACACGCACCTCCTCTTGTCACGATCCTTCTCCCTATCCCTGTCGCGGTCGCGGTCGCGATCCCTGTCTCGATCTCTATCGCGGTCTCGGCTTACACTGCGACTCCTACGTGAGCGTTCTTTCAGAATACTGCCAAGTTTGTGCGATTCTGAAGTGTCGCTGGAGTCGTCTCGCCGTCGCCGCTTCTTGTCCTTCTTCTTGCGATCATCGTTTCGGTCATTGCGGTCCCTACGTGGTGATCGTGATCTCGAGCGACCCATTTCGAAACACTGCAACAGACAATGAATCCAACTAAATATGATAGCAGTAGTTTCGACAACCATTCAACTGACGATAAGGTATTAAACTACTTCATGGAAAGGGAATGCGGATAACTCTACAACGATAAATGCACTCAAATATAATATAATATACAACAATTGGAAGTAATCCTGATGGTCAATGCACGGAGTTCTACACATCCATGATTGACGAAAAAAGCTCATCAATTTTTTCTAAAACGGCTTTGGGATTTAGAAGAAACCCAATCATAAACGAAACAAGACCATGAACTCAAAAACGAACAAATCCAGACTACACACGGAGGTTCGCAGCACGCCACCGAAAAAACCGATCGAAATTTGTCGTCATTCTATGTGCGCCGTAATTACGGATGCCACACATATCCAACGCGCTGTGCTGATAATAGCTATGTTGAATCAAAGGTTGTCTATAAGTGTGGGATCTATAAAAACGATACATTTGTTAGGCTGAACCAATACAGATTTGATTTAAACACAAAGAGAAATTTGGGTTGGTAGACCATGTTGATCACGCCGCATGTTAAGGTAGAATGGAAAAAGTACGTGTGGATGAACAAAATTTAAAACACGGGACAGAGCTCCTTGTATGGAGGCCAAATTTCGGGGCTAGAGCGCGCAAACCCTTCATTGTTAGTTGTCCTGCAGTAGAAGGGTAGAGATATACCATGAATTCTATTCCATTCGTAGTACCAATGTGGTGATTGAATCCATATTTAATTCATACAATGACTTTCCGTAGTCTATCGATGTATTATATCAGTGCCCTTCCATACAAGTCCAGTACGAATTTGCCGATCCTAAGGGATAAGGGCTTGCAGGCTAGAATCCCGGTTCGAATCAGAGACCACCTCCGTATTGCACGATAGGTCTAACCACAGCGCTACCCACTCCCATATTCTACACTGTTGTCAAATAAATCCATTCTCGTAATCGTCGGAAATATGCGAATTCAACAAGAATTCGTGCGTAACTTAGATAAAGCGTTGCTCCAGCCTGAACCTTGCAGATCGTAGCTCCTACGGAAGAACAAGGTGAAAAAATGGCATAGATCAACTTGGTAATGACGAGGCCATCCTTTTCACTGCGTGGTCATCAACTGCCAAATCATCAAAAGTTTTGGTCCGGTCACCAAATATTTTGGCATTGCCAGGAACATTTCTGCTAACCATCAAGTTGACTTATATGTCATTTTGTACCACTTCTGGCTATCATCCTTCATATGTAACCTTTCCTACAAAGCAGTATGACTAAATCAGTTACCAGACAATAACACGGGAAGTTGGATAGTCGTTGTGTTCTATGATTAGCTAGAAGAATTGTGAACAATATCTCCTTGCAAGTATACACATATTTTGTCAGACAATTCAAAAACAAAATCGCAATTGAAGAAGAATAATGGTATATATTTGAGATATTTGAAGTAGGAGATCAACCTGGAATAGTAGCCGCCATGCTGGACTCGTTTTCCAACTCGCATCATGGAAAATAGCCTACTCTTCAAGAAGACAGAAGACTACCGCCGAATTGGGATTCGCTCAACAGCAACCACCCACACGGACGTTGACCATTTCCCCAGACTGTAATGAATGAATGAATAGACTGTGATGCCCCCTTATGAGTAGTGTATCTCTTATCTATTAAGTACGATCACTGCCGACTTGATTCGATTCAACCATAAGATTGGAAACAACTTTGCACAATCAAAAAACAGTCATGTTTTGTCTTAAACGTATAAGATACACTTCACTTCCTTACTTATGTGGACACGATGTCTCGTCTTCACTGGTTGTGCGAGATCCAGCATAATTTCTGTTCTCCGAAGATTTGCTAGTTTATCTATTGTGGTTACTCGTAGCCCCAAGATCAGCTTAACTGATGTCTTCGTGAGGTCGACACCACCACAAGCAGACGTTACTCCAGGTAGACCAAAGTGAGATTTGCTACCATGGAACTAGTTTGCTACCAGGACGGTGATTGATTCCTGACACTGGTTTACTCTTAACTAGGATTCTGGATGGAAAGGACGGGCTCATTCTCAGCTTGGGAGGCCCTACTGGGGTGATGAACCATCGTTCTACATCGCAACCGGTATCCAGGAACATCTTCCAGCCACGATGAGGTGGTAAACCACAAGGAGGGTGAGACGCACTTTTCCTGTATTAAACATAATGTGCCGAATATTCCTACTTTGCAAGTATTAGGTCTTTCCGAAATTAGTATCGAATTTCAAACTGTATTTTTAAAGTGGCATATCTCAGTTCAAAATAAACTTTATTACCACAATGATGCCGAGGTAGAAAACTAGCAGAGAGACCGGTGAAATGAAGGACCCGCATGGTGTGGTGGTGTACGCGTTAGTCCACGAAGAAGCAAATACCGTGTTTGATACCCACCACAAACATCTGCGGTCCCGAGTTTTGCAAATATCTCAGCGTCATAGAGGTTATATTTCGCAATATACCCTGCCATTAAAAAAAGAGTAGGCAGTAAATACAAAGGTTAGGAAGGTGATTAAGGCAAACAGTTTCTTAACTATTACAGGAAACGCTAAGGAGCACGACATTCCCATCTTGGCAACCCCAGTTAAGAACAAGCCAATGCTAGGTATAACTATCGTTCCGGTAGCAACCTAGTCATAAGCTGGAAAATAATCCTCCTTTCTGGCGACACATATCGGGACCGAGTGGCCGTGGTAAAGAGTTTGAGAAGCCCTGGGACGGATTTCTTGGGACCTCAGGAGAAGAAACTTAGGAAAATATACGTCATTGTCACAGTGGTAATGCGACAAACAGATTCATTTCTACAGAAAGCAGAAAAGAGTTGGAGAATAATAAGCGATTATAAACCAATGACGATAGTTTATTTTATCGCAGTGTATTTTATTATTGTTATTACTTTGTTCACAAAGACCGGCTACAACAGTGAAGACGACATGACATCACTCATATCGGGCACCTACAGAAGAACCAATAACGCAACGAAAAGAATGCAAAGAATTTGTCCAGACCTTTGTGACAACCCCTCCTTCCTCTTTCTTTATTTGTCACTCC